CATATCACATATATATATATCAAATATATCACAAATCACAGCAGTAAATATATAGATTATTTTTGACAGCTGTTACAAAACCATTTTTACAATAAATATTCTGATTTTACCTTGAGATTAGATAGCTTCGATATTTGACCACTATTTATAATAATACTTGATTAAAGTGACACTAATAGTTCTCATTTCTGCCAGGAATGCAAAAACAATTGGGAGTTAATGATATTTTGATCAGAATAACGAGACGTCAATCACGTTTGCTTCCATATTTTTGATCAGTGCTTCGCCACACAACATAGAAACTTTACTCCAAAAGTGCGCACATTAGGCTATGTATTCACACGTTTACCTCATATTTCTTTCAATAGAATTCAACCATAATTTCTTAATGACTCGCAGAAAGACGATTCTGCCGATCCATCAGTCAATATTGCGTGATCATAATTCCCACATTACGGTGACAGTAAACTTCTGCGTTCTGTCTCATAATGCATTTATGTGTCAGTTTATTTACAATATCTGCATTTCTGATTTTATTGTTGTTTGTATTGTCATGTTGCAGTATTTTACTTGCTAGTGTGCAAAATATATGTTCTTAATCATGCACTATGGTAAAAGTGTTTTTAGGTGATAACAATGTTGTTCAAAGTCTGGTTTTGTGTGTGTGTAGTTTACTGCAGTGCTCATTTCAGCTGGAAATTGTATGTATATGCACCTTTTTGGAGTTTTTCAAAAACGTACATAGAGCCTTTTCCAATGAGCCTATATATCAAGCAGTACATAAAACATCCAGCTATATATTTTGAAGCATGATGACTCATGATGCCTCACACATTCTAGTCATTCCAAATTGAACAAACAATAAATAGATCCTCTTTTGTTAAGCAAACTGTAGTTTTTGACATACAGTTTGTCATGGCCAAGGCACCCTACTGAGGTGATGATCCAAATAAGCTGTCTAGCTTTAACGAGCCTTTGATGATCAGATTTATCATTAATAGAGAGGAACACAGAGGGCGGATCAGAAACAGGTCACTCAGCCCAACAGGACGCCTCGAGAGCAGATGGAAGTACTATACTGAGATCGACAGGAAGCGGCTCAGGTGTGAGAAATGAGCGTGTGGGCAGCTGAAGGGCAGGTACACAAGGGCAGATTCAGAGTCTGTCAGTCTAGACTGGATGCGGAAAACGAAGTTTGAGCCAAGTGTAGCCATGAAAGCAGAACCTCATGCGAGAGAAAATAATGCAAGCTTATTAAATCAAGAACAAAATAAATGATGGAATTTGTGAATAGCAGATATCTTCATATCGTATGATATCTTATGAATAGCAGATATCTTATTTCAATCTTTGAAGTTTTGAGTATAATGAAACTCAAATAGCCACATTTACATTCTCTGTATCTGACCAATCAATCAGCTTGAGATTCTTTCAATGGAAACTGCTGTCCCTTGGGTGGATGCTCTTTGAAGAGTTCAATTCTCTCGTATAATGTGATGTCTTCGACCGTTTAGCGCAAATGGTTTTTACCTCAACACAGACTGCTAGAAAGCACAAATTTGCATTCCATATGTCTGCAGCTCATCTTCAATTTCTTTTCTGAACGGATCTAAATAGCATTTTACTAATCTGCTTGCCTGGGTGACTTGTATATGCGTCTGTGTCCACTACTGAGAGACGTTATACCTCTTTTAAGGTGGTGAGAAGATGAATTCGAAGAAATATAAATGCGTCTTCAGAGCAGACAGCGGGTGCTCAGATGACAGCGTCTGAAAGCTTTCAATCCCATCATGAGAAATGTCACTGTGACAGAGGTAAAGCATATAGAAGCTGTAAATACTGAGTGTCATGAGGGATGTGTTTTTCCGAGCTATAAGATTCTGCCTAAACACAGAGATTGATCAGGAAACCCAATCTCCACTAATCACCACTGCACTGTGTTATGATTCGAAATTAAATTTGTACTGAAAGCACGGTTTTCGAAAAGCCACATACTGTAGCTGCTCAACTGATGTATGCTATAGTAACTTTTCATATACTATAGCACCATTTTATATTGGTTTTTGTGGTAAAACATGACTTGGACTTCTCATTTTGACATTCACAAATGGTATAATATAACCAAAACATACTACAAAATATATTAATGTTAATTAAATATAATTGCATAAAGTAAGCAAAGCTTACCCTTAAAACATTGGTATTATAACATTATTTTCAGAACATTTAAGCTTACTTTACTCTCCAATTCTCACTACTGTAATGCAAAATATAAAGTCTCATTCTCAAGTAATAATATATAATGGTAGCATTTGTTGCGTTGCTTTTAATTACAAAAGTAAATGATTTAATTAAATCATTCCAGAACCCTATAGTAATAATTTATTGTATATCTCTAGTATATTTATTTAGCCAGTGTTAGAGGATAAATAATAGAATATGGGAAATATTTTCTTCCATTTCCTGGCAGGTAGGGTGATGCAACTGGAGGTGAAGAATCTGAGCAAATGCCAAAGCAATTCCTAGAGCTGTAGACAGTACACTAATGCTTGAACATTTCCTGGCAATTTTAGCAGAAAAAAACACCTTTTGATAGTCAATGTGCAAGCATTAGCGCACACGCTCTGTCTGGTCTACAGCTCAAAGAAGTGCTTTGGCATTTCTTCAAATTCTTCACCTCCAGTTACATCACTGCCAGACTGCAGTACATATGCACAGCTCACAGCCTGAGCAGAGCGAAAGCAACAGTTTACATGCAGCTAATCCACACACCCCTAGCCTGAATCATCAACGCTTTGCAGTATTTCTAATCAGCAAAACCACAAGTTACGTTTCCCGCTGCAGATCTGTTTTCCATTTTCTTTGTTCCGCAACTCCCAGCTCAAACAACATTCAACAGCAGAAGCTGACAGGAAGCAGCTGTCATATCCGCCTCTCTCAGGCTCTACTGGAGTCGGTGAGGCTGAGCTATTTTGAAATGGTGCTTTGTTACAAAGCTCTCAAATGCTGCTGGTTCTAGATTAAATTAGGGTTTCAGGTTATTGATTCAATTATGGTTTTTAACCTCCCCGCCTCAGTCATTCCAGGGAGCATTGCGATGGGCGAGTTTCACGTTTTCCCCTGCCCATACTCCTGATGGAGCCCCATTAGCGCAAAAGGAATCAAGATTCCCCAGCAGATGCTTTTAAGACTTGATTGTTCTTTATCTGCGGGGCTGGATAATTATCACCGCTCATCTATCAAAGAAGCTTCTGGTGTTTTAACTTGGCTTCATCTCTCAAGGACATCTTGAGCAACCGAAAATCACAGTAACAAACACCAGAACCACACAACAATATTGACTGCTCAACACAATTAGGTTAAGAATGTGTACTTCAACAAATGGTCTTCCACTGTTGGTGTTGTGACCCGTTGAGTGAATAATGAAACTGGCAGAATAGTCAGACATTGACAGAGCATTGCAGCTGCTTGAGCCATATGAACGATTTTTTGGAAGCTGAGAATCTGTCAGTGTCTAATTTGATCTGCATTGTATAAAAAAATCTCAGGACTTGTTAATGGATTCCAGTAAATCAGATAATGTGATTGTGACAGTTTTTTTTTTTTCTTCGTGTAACCCTAATGCTAACTTGCTAAGATGAGCAAGTTTGCATATGTAAATTTACCAGTAAGACTACAAGAAAAATATTAAATTTTAAGTCAAATTTGCAACATAATCTTGTTGGAAAAACATGCCTCTACAATTTTTTTTTTTTTTTAATTCCAAAAATGTGCCTATACATACAATTCACAACAGCCTCCAGCTGACATAAACATTTGGGGCAGTTTTTTTATTCCTTTCACAGAAATTGTGATTATGAAAAACACTTATCTGTAAACTAATTCATTTTCACATTTGCATTACGTAGTCAGCTCCATATGTATGGCTTTTCTGACGTAGTAAACTTGCTCGGTAGCCCACCTGGTACAGCATTGCACTTGTGATTATTAGTCCCATGAAACATGATTTGTGATAAAAAAAAGCTTAAAGTCTTGTAGAAGCAAATGGTTGCTTCAGCAAATGCCTTTTTATATCATGTTTGCTTTTGCAGGGTTTAGTGTAGGTGACAGGTTATTTTCAAATGCAATAGAGTGTAAACCTTTTAGCGCAGTCACCGGACATTTCATTTCTGAAATGCCATGATACATACAACAACCAATGTCGCTAAAATGGACATTTCACAGCACAACTATTTTAACAATACACTTAATCATTGATTGAATTCTAAGCATATAATCAATTTTTATCTCACCTCATCTGTCATCTTTCTCAACATTATTGCATGTTCCACAACAGACACATGCTATGCTCTAGAATTTGCCTGGAAGAACGTATCCTTTAGAACAGCCTTTGCTTCGTGAACATTACTATGATGCCTTACAATGCTGCCTAAGTAGGCAGCTCACTTGCTATTGGAACAGAACCAGAGTCAATTTATGGAAGGTCTCTGCACTTGGGTGCCACTTTCCCTGTTTTAAGAGGAGCTGTGAGCACTGGTCCCTGAAAACCCCAGAACTAGTGAAAAAAAGGGAGACGCAGTGCAAGACAAATAAACTGCATCTGACAAGCTTGAGCAGAACCTGACCCTTGTAAACCAGGCTATAAACAAATTACATGGACAAGAATTTATCTACCTTTCTTAAAATAAAAACTGACATAAACATGGGTCTGCCAGGAGTCTATGAGAAAGTAAACATGAATTTATACAAAGAAATTGCAAATTTAAAGAGAAAATGACTTGTGCACTAAATTGAAAGGTCTTGAAATTGTATGACTTTGTAATAAATTGGTAATTAACTTACTAAAACTTAACAATTTAATTAAGATAAAAAAACTAAGGCAAATGTAAGTATTAAAAAATATTACGATTTACAATTTATACTTGTATACTGCTTTATTTTTTGCAAGATATAAATGGAGAATGATGCTCTTTGCAGCCAACAGGGTGTAATTACAGAATCTACCAGCAGGGGCAAATGGATTTATGCTAATCAGCAAAACCTTGAACCCTTGATATGAGAACTTAATCGTAAGTCTACAGTAAATTAACTCTGCAGGAATGAAAATTAAATTTTGTCACAGCGCTAGACATCACATAACAGACCTGACAAAAATGTATTAGTCAGGTTTCAAAGATTGAAAGGTTGCAGAGTTTGCAGTGTTTCCTCCATAAATCTCTGCCATTTTCTTGCTGAGACCATTTCTGAAAAGTCGTGTTAAAGTAGCCTCTGTAAATGGGAACTATTAAAGACCAGAATGGACTTTGGACATCGCTTCAACACTGCAAAACAGATTGATTACTGCCATCATGGCCACTATCCATCAAACACTTCAACTCTACACCAAACGGCTTGCTGTCATAAGTCTGCTATGACAGTCTGCTCCGATATCTTTACATTTATTTTCGTCACTTGCTCCATTTAGAATTGTCCAACCGCTGTGCCCTGGTCTATTGCATGAGTGAAGCTCACATGTCAGACAGATCGATGAAGCTATATTGTTACACTAGATCTGAGATCCCACAAGGGACACTAGCCGAGCTCTACTACAGATGAGCAACAGTTTTACCTTGATGAGCTCTTCCAGCTCATCTCGGGTCACGCAGCTATGTTTCTCCAGGAAGGCGGCTTTCTTCAAAGTGATGGTGTCTTTTTGGTTGCTCTCAAAGGGTTGCTCCAGGGCTCTGAACACCAGACCGCCGGCGACCAGGTACGCTACCACCACCACAAACACGGCAAGGACAGTCTTCCACTTCATGACCGTGAGGAGGGCTGAGCCGTCCGCCACCGCTTCCATGCTGGCCACCATACTAGCGGGCCGGGAGACAGAAAGGCGAGGTAAAGAGCAACCCATGGGGTTCTGCATGGTGGCCACACTGGCCTGCACCAAGCTGGATTGCAACATCCCTGGTTGGACCTTCTTCGGCGGTACCAAGTTGGTCTGCACTGGCACTGTTAAAAAAAGAGACAATATATGTTTTTGCCATGCATGTGATCATTTACAACACTGGAATTGCTTCAGGATTTTATATCAAACATCAAGTCAAACTTGTACAAATCAAAACAAAAATGTTTGTAAAATCTTAAATTATGTGAAAAAATATTAATTTTAATGTAGTCTATGTCGTTTTATTTTACCTTGCGTAGTTTCGTTCATAGTTTTCGAGGACGAGAGCATGACACGCAACCTCTTCATGATGGAATCCTATTTGCTTGGCTTCTAGCAACTGACAGATGAATTTGCGACAATAACGTAAAGTTTGGACCCACAGCCCTGACGTCAAAAAGATGTGCATTTTCTCCTCTTTTAAGAGCTGATAAACCTATGAGACTTGCTACACTATATAATGATTTCCATTTTATTATTTTGCATTTTATTTTTCCCTGCTGTCCACTATCCTATCAGCACAGACCAGCTATACATTTTTGTGTTGCAAACCACTGATATATGTTGTCGTTTATCCACTGCAAAGAGCCTATTCAAAGCAAAAATCGAAGTAATTTGCTTTTCGAGTTTAGTGTTCGCTCCTGTGTTCATTTTACTTTCTTTTTAAACGTGACTATTTTAAATTAATGTAAACACTCCAGGTGGCAAAGGGTGGTGTTTCACATGTAATAGTCCCAAAGCCTCTGACCATTGCTGCATATCCACACATACACACACATGTCTGCACACACACTTCTCTTGGCTTTCTGAAAACCCATTACAGTAGAAAGCAGCAGTACAAGGGTGGAGCAACGATAAGCTACACTGTTTCAGACCGCCTGGCTTTGTTCATAAACACATAAAAGCATAAGCATTACTAACCAATATGCATATTCTACAAAAAATCATCTTGTGGAGGTGGTACTGTAAATAAATTAAAATGACCCTATAATCAATAAACCAAAGAATGCATTAATCACAGAAAGCACATATAAAGACTGAGCCTCAAGTAATTTCCCCTCAACTTTCTTTTAGTCAGGCAATCCCTTCGCCTTCAATATGATGTTGTATTGCACAACTGTTTATGTGGACACTATCCCTGCAGCATGACCGCAATAATTTACTGTGACAATTCGACCGTTGTTTACAAGCCATCTTGACCCTACCTTCAGATTTTTTATATACAGTATATTTTTTTTTCACTGAAAATTCAGAGCAAATAATTAGGAGAACATTAAGTCTTATTAATTTGAATTTATATTAAAATATAGTTCGACAATAGTGAATTAAACTGTAGTCGCATTATATAAAGGAGCTGCAGCGGTCAAAGGTATGTTAAAATAAATAATAATAATAACCTGTTCCCCAAAAGAAAAAGAACAATTCTGGAAGGTCAAAAAAGTATGTTTATTATCTCGTAAGGCATTATCTGCAACGCATTTAAATATATAAACCAGTATCGTGAATGTGTGTGATTTTCCTGTACATAGTAAGATTAGGTAATGCGCGTCACCCACGTTGCATTATGCATCTCTCGTGTCTCTGCATAGTACTCGCAGACTTTGTAGGCGCGTTATGATGCACCTCTGTTGAAGATTTCTAGAAAAAGTAGCATTGAATTGCTCATATAGACGTCTTTGTGACTTCTTCCTCTTCCACCCTTCTAAACTATTGCAGCAAACATCAACCATGCAGGTCTCTCGGTCATGTCGTGATTGTGATTTGTGAGGAACACCTCTTAAGCATCAACGGATGTTGTAATTTAAACGCGTGGTTGTGAATCTTAATAAAGGTGTCCACTGAAAAACTGAGACGGACAGAATGAGATCCTTTATTAGAATTAACAGAGATGTTAAAGCTTTGTACCACTAACTGATCACACACAGTCAACTACCTCACCCACTGGTACCCCATCGTCATTTTGCGCATCTTGGTTAAAGTGTTTTTGATTGGATTAGTTGGGCTCTTAAATCACTCTATATGACAGCTGACTGCCAGAGCGCATGTATGCTTCATTATGCTCATAATAACGTCTGTCAAATATACAGCATGAGCAATAACTCATGTATGCCACTGGAAATGCATTTTGGAAACGAAATGTTGTACCTACCTTGTGGAGGGTTCCAGTTTCCTGGTTTCCTTGGGTTTTCCGTTGGAAATTTCATTTTGGATTGCAGTTTAATTCATGGTCGAAAAGAGATCAAGTAATTTAGAGATACGGCGTGACTGTTGACTCATGCAGCGAATTTCCTTGAAGACATTGTTTTTAAACGAGACAGCGAGGTAAACGGGTGCAAGCATGAGATCATCATCTTCATCTTCAGGCGTGTGGAGCGATAGATGTGCTGCTAGACTGGCATGGAATCTGCTTCTGTCTCTTCATGGCACTTAAGAGTTCCAGATCACTCCGCCGTTTGCCAGTTGCACCATTTTCCACGCGTCAGAGACCCTTTGTGTGTGAAGTAAACAGTGAAGGTGCAGCAGAAGTCCACGCGCTGTTGGGGCATCGTCTGAGCGCTTCGCGAATGGACCATCCAGAAGGCTTTTCTCAACAGCCGCAGTATATGGCAAGCGGCTTTAACATTTATCCGATTAACTAAATAGTTTCTTTTTTTTTTTTTTTTTTTTTTTTTTATTGATTGACAGCTCTGCTTATTTTTAAGGCAGTGGCTGTTTGCACTAAGTGTAAATAGCGATAGAGACTATTTACACTAAGTGCAAATAGCAATAGATATTATTTACACTGAGGGATTGTCTAGATTGTTATTTATACTACTTAATGCAAATAGTGGCAGTTATCTGCACCTCATTATTGTAGTACATTTTAAAACAGTATGCAATAGTAATGTATTGAGTGTAAATTATAATTTTAATTCAAATTATTAAATGGATGTCACCTTATTGGGACAATAAAGCCCTCTCTAGACCTACCCTAACCCTACCTGATACTTTAGTTTCAACTTCTTGATTATTTCCTTCATTTTTATTGAAAATACATGCTTTTTCGATGTGATATGAGATTTGAAAAGGGGGAAAACAAGTTTGGCAAAGGGCGGATTCGAACCTGGATCGATCGCATCAAAGACACTGTGGTACATGCTTTACCATCTACGCCACAGAAGCTAACATTTGACAGTCGTTGACTACACCAATCACATGTTGGTGGGCGGAGTTAGTGTAAATAGCCTCCAACAAGGCGGGCTATTTGCACTTAGTGTAAATTGACACTCCACATTTTTAATTACTAACAAGTCATCTTCATGTATGGAAGCCCCTAAATAAAAACTTTAAAAGGTAAATGCGATTTTTTTTTTCTGCCTTTTTCTCGGAATTGCTAGTTTACATCTGCCTATTTATTTATTTATTTTTCAGAACTGCATGATATAAATTTAATAAATTTAAATTCAAAGTCAGAATTGTGGGACATAAACTCACAACTGCAAGAAAAAAAGTCAGAATTGTGAGAATTGTGAGTTTATTCCATGGCGGAAAAACAAAAACAAAAAACTGCAATGTAAACTCACAAGTGCGAGTTTATAACTCACAATTATAAAGAAATACGTCAGAACTGCAAGATGTAAATTGCAATTGAAGTCAGAATAAAAGTCAGAATTGTTAGATAAAAAGTCACAATTAACTTTGTTTTTGTATTCTGTGGCGGGAAAAAAAAGAAAAAGAATTGTAAAATGTAAACTCACAATTGTGAATTAATAATTCCCCCCAAAAAATGTTTTATAATTATAAATATTTTTTTTTATCATCTATATATATATATATATTATATGTATTTTTAATTAAAAAAAAAATAATTGCAAGATGTAAAGTCTAAACTCTGAGGGGGAAATTAAAAGATCAACACTACAAGATGTAAAGTCAGAATTTACAAAACAATCAATAATGTGGGATAAAAGTTGTAATGACCTTTTTTATTCCATGGCAGAAATAAGCTTCAATAGAGTTACAACAATCACACAAATCACACAATTGTGGTTTGGTTCTCCTAAGTTTACCTAAGAATGAACAGGATTTCACTCCATTGCCATTTGTTCCTGTTGATTGTTGACATTGTCAGTGGGCAGTATGAAGGGCTCTTTCAACACGCCAGCTATTGTTTTAACATCAAAGCTTTGCTCTTAGCACCCAGCCGCTAATAAGCCATCAGTGAGAGTGCAGACATCAGAACATCTGCTGGAGTGCTGGAGTGTGAACTTTTGACTGAATGCAAAACCTGACCTCCACATCAACCTATACTCAATACAGCATAAGCCCTTTCACTTTCTCTGACCTAAAGCCCCATTTTTTACTCCTCTTCATTCAACTTCATTCAAAGCATTCAACTTTAGATTAGATAAGCAATCATCTAAGCAAGAAGGCATCTTCATTGTACACTAAAGCTTCCAGTTAGAGCCAAACAAGCCTGATGCCACTGGAACTTTTTAGAACTTTTTTCTTTAGTTATTTAAAATGTGAAAGCTATCTACTGGTTGTCTACATAGAAATAAATATACTGATCTGAGTAACCTGTAATATAACATGAATTACTCAAACTCAAAAACCCTAAACAGCTAAATGGTGCATGATAAGAATGGTCTTTGCTGAACATAAGCTGCTACAAAATAAGAAAAAGAGAGAGCGAGAAACCCCCCCCCCCCCGGCATAATTCAGGCGGC